AACAGGCGTGAATCAATCAATCAAAGTCCTTATATGATTACAAAATACACTTCGCCGACTGAATAATTAGGACTATTCCATCAAGTTACACTGTTTTCCGGTTCATATAATTTTGTATACCCTATCTATATGCTGGTCCAAAATTCTATGGGAGTGGAAAAGCCGTAAATAACTAGGAAATTGTAATTGACAAACTGAATAAGGCGTACACAATTTACTAGTACATATGAATCTGTTCTTCTGATATGAACAATGACATATGGTTTCAGACCTTAACTAAGTATATATTCAGCTTCATCTAGTAGCACACACTTTACTATTATCTATCTCCTACCGTTTAGCTTTGTGATGGTATATAAACAAAAGCACACGGTATCCTTGGCGTTGCACAACCTATCCTTTAGCACATGGATGATATAGATTTGTTTGACACAAAGACTAACTAAGATTAAAAGTCAGTACACAATACAGACTACAAGACTAATCTCTAATCAGTTTCTGCAAGTATAAGTTCGTGAAGATTATTGAATTCCATTTAAAGGTTGAATCGATCTAAGTTAGATCATAATTGAGAACCTGTAAACATTGCATAAACACTGTTGAAGACTTCCATACTACGATAAAACTTCTATCCAGTACTTCTAGGTTTTCAATCTTGATCTAACTTGAATCCATTCAGGATTTCAATAAAAAATTTTCTATCTAAAATTTTGTATGACTATAAGAAACTGAGAGAAATGTCTCTCCACTCAAATTCATTTTATAACACATGATCAATCCATCATTCACATGAAACAAAACAAATATATGATTAAATGCTTAACACGACGTCTTGCTCTTTAATTATAATATTTCAATTTGGTCAATCAATAATATTTATAATTTTAATAGTTGAATTCATAAGTGAATTGAAGCTAGACCATCATGGAAAACCTGGAAGCAATAGACGGCCATTTCATCCTAGTATGGAACTCATCAGCAGTGGAGTTCAACTGAGATTGATAGGTCCTGGATACGAATCTCGCGAGGTGGGATCATAGATGCACACTGCTGAGGAGTCCTATACTAAGACGAAACCGCCGTCTAGTGCTTTCAGATTTTCTATGATGGTCTACTTTAAATTGACTCATGAATTCAACTTTTAAAATGACTATAATATCCACAAAATTCCTCTCCGTTAATATTATTTGTATTTGTTGTTTGTATTTCCAGCTATTCATTTATCAAGAAAATATTTTCAATTGTATTATAATTTACGAAGTATGAGTCGACATTGTTTCCTGTAAAAAAAAATGATCGAAAAAACCGCTTATTATTGAAAACTGTATATTTTCTATGATTTTTTGTTTGTTTCTATAGAAAAAAAACTTTTTTTTTCAGTTATGTAGTTTTATATCGGTTTTTTAAGTTTTCTACTTTAATTAAGTAAATAAATTAAAACAATAAAGTGGACAATTACGTATTTTGTTCATTGAATGACTAATTCAAATCGGTATCAGTCGATATAGATGCCAACTTATTTATTTGAATACATAAATATTGGTACAATGAAGCACCGAATACATATGCACCACACAAGTCAATTGATTTGTGTGTGGGCTGTGATACTACTCCGGCGACCAATTTGAAGCAGGTGGTTTTCTTAGGGGGCCACATCCAGAGCCTTCGACCTAAAGGTCTGATCCACAAAACGGTGGGGCAACGTAAGGAGATGCGGTCCCATTGTAGCCAGTGACCAATAATCGGTTCATACGCCATTTGTTCCTTCAGGATGCTGGAGCTCTTGTACATCATTAGTTTGAAATGAGGGTTTTCCAACTTCCCTAGATGAACTGTGCGTGTCCACCAACCCGGTTAAATCGCCGGACATTCCCTTTTTCGTCCTCTCAATTTCGTAAACAACACTCGTGTTGCGAGAATGCAGCGAGTAGGACTTCTGTAGTATTGGCTGTATATACGTGGCCATGTGAGCGCATTTGGAGAGGGAGGGCTGTAGTATTGCCGTACTAGTACATTATCCGATAAATGCATTAATTAAAATATTCATTTAAAAAGAGATCGTAATTACATCATCACATCTTGTAAAACTGTATATTATTCAGATTTCTTTTCTTTCAACTCACTTGAGATATTTCTGTTTCAACAGTTGTTTGATATTCTTTGAGTCGTCCAAGTTTTCTCATTTGTGTTAAAAATTCACTTCTTTCATTAATTTCATCTATTACTGATATAAACAGACCAGGAATAAAAAATAAACTATTTAAGCGGTTAAAAATTAATCAAGACAAACGAAATAAACGATATTGAAATTAATCAGTTCAACAGACTGTGATTATTTTAATCAGGATTTAAAGAATGTTAGACAATAATAATTTAAAACATTAATATTTATGAATCAAATAAACTGTGAAATGAACCCAATACCAATAATTCCTCAAATTATGAACACATCATGTTTCATTAAAGATGATCAATTCTTTGTTGATATCTGTTATATCCCGACAAGAATAATGAATGGTATGTTTTGAGATCCATTTATGGACCAATACTATACGTATATTTTTATCCTATAATTATTAAATAACTAAACTATTCATATTCATGTTCCTCTTATTATGAGCTTTATTCTGACCTATGAACTATTATTATACGTTTTACCATTCTCGAATTATGACCTGTTTATTAGTCACTGCCTCCCACATTCACAACCACATTTGGCCAAATTTTGTACGAATGTTATTTTCTATTTTATGCTACGTTGTGGTCTGTTTGATTGGTATATAAACTCAGTATGTTTGAAATATAATGATTCATATTGCAGAGGCTGAGATTGGCGTTCTGGACTTAACTGGCTGGGCTAGACGGAAAGCAGGGCCAATCAGATCTCTAGGCTGCTCGTACGTGTTTACGCGTCCTTGGTCCGATCGATAATTTACTGCCCTCTAATCGGCGGTCCCAATATATAGCAGAAGTTAACAGCATAAACACTAATTGAGTTAAAATAATGTAAAAGATTGAGCACTAAGACTAACGAAACGAAGCGACGGAGTGGTAGTGTGTGTAGGAAGGACCAATGAGACTCAAGATCTAGAGGTAGATCAACAATAAATGCATTTGAACATTTATGAACAGTTCTGAGTAATTTCATTCAAAATTTTCAGTCAGCTATCATGGTTATCACGCTAAACTTGACCAAGTAGTCTGAATCGATTAGAAGGCTTAGGTCAATGGTGAAAAAAGTCATGGACTTGTGCTATCTTAGTTTGGCTACTTCTTAGATTTTTCCAACCTACTTCTATTCCAGCAAACAGTTTCTATATTGCTTGCAGCTTGAAGTTTCGTTTTAACACGACTTACATGTTATAAATACATTCTAATGAACTAATATCAACAAACATTAATACTGGTTTAGATTTATCTCACATCTTTCAGGGAATCTAGATTTGTATCCGTGTTCACTATTACGGGAATAAGTTTTAAAACGCTCAGTTACTGAGCATACAGAATAGTAACATTTCAAAGAGTACTGAAGTTCATAGTGTTTCGTAAACATGACCTGTCACTTTCATTTAGGTTCTATATCATTATTTCTTAAGATTTCTTAATGTTTTCTCTATTCAGATGTAAGTTATGACTAATAAGTAACTGGTGCCTAGATCAAAGGTTCACTTCCACAATCAGTCAGCCTGTTTTCCTATTAGGCTTTATTAGGAAAGTTAAAATTCTATCTGACATGAAAGTAAATATAATAAATTTACGCGCCACAAAAATTAGTTATTATCAAATTTTCTAGCTGGGATACTGTTCGGGTGCTCAAATCAAAGTGGTTTTTTAAGGAGGTCACTCTTTGAGTCTTTGTCCTAGAAGTCTATTCCACAAGGCAATCGAACAACGTTAGAAGACATTCCCATGGTAGCTGGTGAGGAAGAATAAGTTCACACTTCATTAGTTCTCGCAGGATCCTGGAACCCATGTGCATCATTGGTTTGGAATCAATATTTTTCAACCACCATAGCTGGATGCTCCGTGCCCACTAATTCGGTTTAAGCGTTGAGTATTCGCTTTTCATCCTCTCAGTTTCGTAAAATACACTCCTCTATGAGAAGGCAGTGAGTAGGAATGTTCTGGCAGTAGAGTGAGGTCATGTGAAAACGTCTCAATAGTTAGAGCACACTCTTTTAGCCCCGACAGTACTGCTGCATTTTGGGGCAGTTAATAATCAACAACCATAATTATAACCTTTGTGTTGCATTCAATAGATCATTAACTACATTGTATGGTAAATTCTGTATAAATAACTTTAGATACGACTTTCGAATCGAATCATTGTTTATTTAGGCTACTATTATATTGTGGTGTCTGCTACTGATGTCGACAGATATAAGTAGTATGTATCACCAATCAAATTCGAAATACCTGGACCTATTACTAGCAAACATAGATTATACTTTCTGATTTACTTTCTGACTTAATAGACGGATGCAAATCTCAGATTTTTTCATTCTTATTATTATGCCAAATCAACTTTATGCTAGCCTACTTTTCACGTTGAGTTAGGAAGTTAATATGCGTAACGCATGTCTGAATCATTTAAGTTGACGAGAGTATACAGCCTCATAATCTCTACTTGGTAATCTACGCTTAACTTTAGTGATACTTAGTTTGATATTTCGCGGAACTTAAACAGTAGTCAAATATATGTATCCTAGACTTGATTTTTATGTTCAAATTTCATGTTTCACGACCATAAAAAACATGAAGTGAACTTTTATGCAGAGCACTTGCCATTTGATGTGAAAACGAACAACTTCCCTGTTTACAAGCTGAAATTCAATTGACCAGTTGATAAGCACGATATCGTCAAACTTATTTATAAATCCCAATGAGTCATACAAAATTGTCATAACCATAATCAATCATACGAAGTTGCCAGAAACCAGATATCATAAAATGATATTCCTAGTGTAAGGCAAGTGAAATATCACTGAGACATAGCCAAATCATTCGGCAGTTGGGTCACTGAATATCGAACAGATCATCGATCCTCGTCAAGATCAAGGACAACCAGTGAGCATCAGTTAATCGAATATCATGGATTGGCGCATGCGGTAGTGGTCTCGCTATCTTCTCTTTACTCATTCTCACTAATATACTTCCATAATCACGTCCTTTGTGTTATACGGTCTTCAAAATAGACATAGTACTTTTATATGTCGAAGATGTAATCCACGTTAGATGCTGACTGCGAAGTGTAACTTTGAAGTTATCTGGTTCATTACATCATCCCCGTCTAACTCGATTAGGTCTCTAATCATTCGACATAGATCATCTAGGTGGTAATCTACACTAGAAACAGATAATTAAGCTGATAAATTCTGAGACTACTACCAACTTATAAAAGTAGCTCAAAAGATTTAACAAAAAAAACGAAGTGAACGATATTTCTTTCTAATCCAAAATAGCCAATTCATGGTAGATAATCACATGTATATCAATAAAAATGAATGGAAACCAGAGAAGTTCAAGATTTTTAACATACTACTGAAATGAATAAAAAAACCAAATATAAAAAAAGAACAAAACTGTGATCAGCTGAAAAAGAATAAATCAACTTAATAATATCAAAAATAATTACCCAATATACAGATACATAACTGTTTCTAAACAATAAGTATTCTAATGTAAACAGGTGTCTATTATCATTTTATTTTTCTTCAATGAATTGAAATGAGTCATGATTTAAAAAAAAAAAGAAAGAAAACAATCAGATAAATAGGGACACAAACAAGCATGTCATCATTTGTTATAATTGATGTATTAAACAAGAATCTTTCATTATTTGAATAATCACTAAGTGAATAATAATAAGAAGAAGAATCATTAAGTAACATCGTTTTATAACGTGGTTTATATACATGTAAATAAAACATTAGAATCTAACGAAAGAAGGAAAGAGGGAAAGAAAAAAAAGAATTACAGAAAAGAAAATTTGTTAAAAAAAAACTTTCAAAATTGCAAATAATTAAATTTTCCACAAAATTGAGAATATTTTTGAAAAGAAAAGGAAAACAGGAAGACTAATTGTGATCCTATTTGCTCTTCTTCTTCTTCTTCATCATCAATATCTTCTTCTTTAAAGAATCATTCTTTTACATCAATAATTCAAAATAGAATTAGGACTGAATATAATTTGAAGTGAAACGATGTGGTTGAGAATGTTTAATGGATAATATTTAGTATGGAATTAGTCGATATTATTGATTTTCATTTCCGTTGGCAACAGTATTTTGAAATTTTGGCGCACCATTACCAGTGGTCACTGAATTATCATTATTATTAGTATTATTAGTATTTTTCATGTAAGTTAATCGACCCCATGGTTGAATTTCACCGCTTGTCAACCATAAATTCATGAATGCACCAAACCATGCTATTCCTGCAGCTATACCGAAAACAATCATCCAATTTTGAATGCTTGACTAAGGCAAAGAAAGAAAAAGAAGAGTAATACGAGTGAACAGTAATGAGAAATGTATAGTAAATGATTAATCACATAGAAAGTTATAATCCTTGACAATGGAGAGATTAAAGCATTGATGATCACTAATAAAATACAATTTAGTGAAGTATAAAAATCAATAAGAGATCAAATAACTTAACGCTTATATCATGAATTGGTATCACTTTGGAAATTACTAAAAATTCAATGGAACTGAATACCGTTTTAGTTCTAATAAGGGAGTTTTTAGAAGTGTTTGCCTGAGAAATTCTAAAAAAACGTAAAAAGTACTTCCAGAGCTCACCACGAGTGCGTTACCATTTAGATTAGCAAGTCATAATTCATATATCTAACTGCAGTAAGTTCGTGTTATTCATTAGTTTTGATATAAAATTTCGCATTTCTAATAGATGGAAATATCTAATCATTTTGAGAATGAAGCAAGTATCAACAAGTGACATGGAACAATTATGATGTTACGTTACACATTAAGTGGAATGAAAGTTATGCGCTATCTTAAATTCCATCATTCAATGATATCATGCTCGATGTAAAACCTGAGGTTAATTGGCTTGATAATGGCATCAAGTCATGATGAGTGGAAATTGCTGAAGAGCAATAGACTAATGCGAAACAGCTATTCAATTTCCTATTATTTAATACTTCTATAAAATTTTATTATAAATAAGGAAGCAAATATTACTTTTTCAATATAGAGTAATCCTTCCATATATATATATATATATATATATATATATATATATATATATATATATATATATACCAGTATGAACTGATGATTACTCAAATTCGTACTATAACTATTGGCAACTCATTTCCATGTGCAGATTCTTATAATTGACTTTAAGCTAAACTTTACATGTGAATACTAGTTATACTATGCAGTTGGCCGAACCGGTTATCAGTTTGAGACCACACAACCTGATACTTTATACAAGGAATTAGGTAGTACAATATTTAGACTGTATGAATCATTTTTTACTAAAATCTCAATGTACAAGTCGGAACAGTTTCAACATAAAAATAACAAATATTGAATTCTTTTTAAAAAAGGTGATGAATACACTTACACTATTTCTTGTTATATAACCGATTAATAGTGGTCCAAATATACCTGGCAGAGTAGCAGCAGTATTGGTTACTGAAATTATATTCCCTGAAAATCAATCGACATAATACTCATGTATATTACGGAAACGGCAAAGAAAACGTGTTTCACTTTTACTACACAAATCTTCATCATGTAAATATGTACAAGTATCACGTGACTATAATTTATGAACGAACTTATGAAATCACGGGTATCAGGTCTTGGATTTTCATTCATCCATATAGTTGAATAGCAATTCGTTATTATAACTGATGCCAGTTTGTCACAAAAATCCTCACTTTAATTCCTAACTCTAAATCCTAATCCTATTTCATCACACCAATTTGTTGGCCTCTTTTGACTTTAGTAATTAGGTGAGTTGTCTCAAGATCACTTTGGCGTTGTTCAAAGGTTTTCCATAAACTATAGTCTCACCACAAATATAATGGACTAGTTGAAGGTCATTTTTAGAGAAAGAGTGTGTGCGTGTTTGTTTAAAGTCCTTTTGTAAAAAAATTTGAGTGGATATTTTGATATTTAACACTATAACAAATATACGATTTCTCAAAAGAATTTTATTTATTTTAGTAAAGTCATTTAATTATCATTTGATAGTAATAAGCATTAGATTAACTTAACTAATCTTAATGTCACTTAATTAGAAGCAGTTTTAGGCTTGATAAATTAATTTTGTAATTTGCATCATGGATCAATATTAGTTAGACGTCTACTGAGAACCAAAAAGTACTGAATCGTTATTTCCTCTCAGTATGAAACTCATCAGCAGTGACCCCACAGAGGGATCAAATCCAAAACCTTCAGACCAGTCAGCGAATGCTTTACATTTAGACCACGAAGTCGGCACATAATGGTTAAGATGTTCAATTTCAGTCGATTAGTGAAACAGCGCAGACATATTTTATTACCATTTTTGAGTAACTGACAATCAATCAACATAATTGAACACCATCGATTAAATTTAGCTTAGTAGACCTTTGTGAATTCCCTCTGGAATTTGGTCACGAGTGCGCACAGGTTTATTATTAGAACAGAAGGCTTAAAGAGATTGTTGAATTTTGTGGTTTACATAATCATCTACTCTTAATCAGACGATCACCGAAGACAACTGAAAAATAAATGAATCAGTAAAGAAGTCTTTTATGCATTTAATTTATATTCCGTGATATTCCCATTTAATTCATCTATGTTTTATATACTTATTCCAATCAATAGTTTGTTTTTATCGAGTATTATCAACTTTTTAGAATAACGTATTTTCAGTCGATATTTCAGTCATACTGCAACTTGGCTGATGGAATTCGACAGACAGATTCATTACCAATACTCAGTGATTAATCTGTTGTAAATATTTCAGTCCAATTGGAGGTCAGTCACAGTCTGAATAACTCAGTGCTAACATCTCAGACTGTGAAACTTAGTTCTACTAGTTCGAATCCCAGAGGGCGCATCGATTCCCTCTAGACTGAAGGTACGCCTTGTTGATAAATCGAACTATCATGAATACCAGATAGAAAAGGATTTCTTGTAGGTTGTCTTCAACCATATAATATTTGACAAAATGCACACAAAGTCAAGTTATTTCGATTAGTGATCACATTACAACTTGCTTGATAGAATTTCATTAGTACTACAGAACTAGAAAAACAAGACATTATCCACTTTTCAGTTGTCAATTATATGAAGTAATATACCATTGAAATTACTATACTGAACACAATATTACTTCGACAAACAATAAAAGAACTACTGTGAGTGAATGTTGCAATTTGTAATCTTTTTTTACGGAAACAGCTTTTTGATTGTTTATATGATATCTGTTAACTTGAAGTAAAGCTGTGTTTTTAGCTAACTGAAGATTATTGCATGCGATATGATGATGATGATGCCACCTTCCGTTTTCATCTTTCTACACCTATAAACATATAAAACGCGAAGATGTATAATACCACTATTATTGTATTGAAAATCGTTAAGTGTGATCCCATATAGGGTCGTGCATGTACACTAATATGAAATCCCTGTAACTAATGATAGAAACTTCACCTTCCATAAATTTCCCAACACAACAAAAACAAATTACTAGTAATATTTATCACAGATTGATATTATTTTGGGTACTAGGGAACACCGAAAAGCAATAAATGATAGTTGTTTCACTGAAGTCTGTAGGTTTCATCAGTAATACACACACACGAACACCTATGAAAATAAACTACCTAACAATTTGAACAAACGAGAAAAACAAATTACCATTGTAAATTGGGGCTAAATCCAAAGCATTCGATCCATAACCAGCCAAAGAAAATCCCATTAAACCAATTGCAACAGAGAATAAAACAATAGCGGCCATCCGATTACATCCAACTAAACTGACACATATTAGACTTAAACCAAGGCCACCCAAGGCTAGGTTGATCGAAACAAAAAGAAAACAAAAGAGGAAAGAAAAAGTTTAAGATGGTCATTTAATAAATAGTTTTTATAACAATGATTACTAAATTAGAAGAAAATGAAATATTAAGGTCACTGATTTACTCTAAGTTACTTATCATTCTACTGAAAAAAGAAAAGAAAATTTATTTGGACCGCTTTAGTTATGACCAATTAGATAGCTGTCACAACTTCATTTCGGACTCCTCAGTAGTATACACAACTAAAATCCAGTCCTAAGTAGGACCAAATCAGATGTTATTGTAAGCATCATACCTATAGATCACAAAGCTAGAATTCAGTGAATCACATTCAACTGACTATTTAGCTCGAAGATCATTTAATCAATAAAGTGGATATTGTCCATAATGATAATGAAAACTCTATTATTAAACCATTTAGCTTATTTATGAGTTAGTGAACCTTACCCAATCAAAGCAAAATGAACTTCACAGGTTTCGACAGCTCTGTTAGAAGGAACGTCAAAAGTAATTATGCGTGAATGAATGCCTCATAAGTAACCAAAAATCACCATTGGTAAATAAAGAATGATAGCTGAATCTTTTAATTAATCTTTTAAAGAGTACAAAAATCTTACTAATTTGAATAGTAACTGACAGTAGAACCATGTAGGTACGTTTAGTTCCATTTTTTGGAACTGATCAATTGAATGTCCCTGCATTCCATTGTTGATGTTCAAACTGAAACTAATGTATAGCTTAAGGAGGAAGAATGCATTTGTAAAATCTCTGTGAATGAATTTGAAGTAAATCTAACCTTTTGTTCGGCAATCTGGCCCAAGCCCTGTCAAGGAAATATAGCCAAATATAGATTGGTATATGGTTCTTCGATTAACTATATACTAAATATGTGATCCAGTCATAATAATGATGTTGAAAGTAAATATTTGCTGTAGTGTGTATGAAACATATGGTGTGTAAGGGGAAGTGTGCTAAGATAATAGATTTTGTGTAAGTGTATTTGAGGTGTGAGAAGAAATTTCATTGACTACTTATCGCCTTTGGTCTATGGTTTTTAAAGATATGTCACAGCATACATAAAATGATAAATAAACAAAATAAAAATGGGGGAACGGATGATTATGTAATTTTTACTGTTGCGATTAATCATTTACCATATTCAGAAAACACAACTGATTAGAACAGTTAAACATGATTGCTGTTATTCAGATAATAAATGATGTATTAAATGAAATAAGGAGTTCAGGTTTACTTATTAATTATTAGTTGCCATGACCCAACTAATTGTATTGCATCTCCCCTATTAATACTATTTGGATTCGCCCATATGTGTAGTGCTTCGGCTAGTAATCTTTCTTTCTAAGAACTAAAACCTTTTTGTGGGATTCTTGTGCCATTGATTCAATTATATGACCCGCCTTTATTGTGTAATATATTGGGGTTTGAAGCGAAAGTTAATGAGATTAAATTTCAGAATAAAAATTGACACTGGGGTGAAGGAACATCCAACCAAAGAGACCCAAACAGGAAACAATGAGTGTCCTGGATATCACAGCTACTCACTATCCAACTTTAATAAAAGCTTGTGACTAACGGGCAATATCTAGGGAATCCGTTCAGGATGCGATATATATATTCCGATACGGACTGATCAACTGAAATCTTTCACATTAACCATTCAAAAAAACAAACCTTTGCAAATAATTATGAATTTTTATTTAGTATTGTCTAAAATCAACATTAGCAAATGTCAAACTGACTCAGTCAATCAAGTTCGGTATTTTCTAAGTAGTAAAACTCTAATAGTTGACATCAATGAGAAAATTGTATTCCTCTTTAACCAAAAGTTTCATAATTTCATTGTCTGAAACAATTGATATAGCAAGCAATGACTTAGCCGATTCGGTTGCAAATGACATATAAAATCGATTATTTGTACTACATCTTGAGAAAGAATACTTAGTTGTATGATATTGTACATATGTATTCACACAATAAGTTGTTGGCCAATTGGTGTTAGATATCACTTAATACAAATTATACAAATATGGGTGTTAAACTGATTTTATGAAAAACCATAACAAATTCGTATATTCAGATATGAGTTTGATTTGTTTTGGAGGTTGAATAAATTCATATAATCAATCTTCGTTTTTTCACTAAGTGTTGTCAGATTCGGGGTTTTCAATATCAAGCATAAGTCAGTCAATTAACTCCGAAGACATAGCAAGAGTATTATTCGTTTAAAAATCAGCAAGTGGTTCTCACTGCCATCATCAACACAGGGTACAATAAATGATTACTTACCTATAACATTATTTAATTTACGTACCGAAGTGGTAGATAAAAATTGTTTAGCGATTACGAAATCTGACAGATAGGCGGCAAATAAACCGACAATCGATTGTGCAATATACGGAATAGATGATAAGAGACCATTCTATGTAAAAATTGTTATTTTTTAAATAACGTAGAAAAACAAGTAAAACGGTGAATAGGTTGATTTTTCCACTTGTAAAAAAGATTAGGTACAGCAAAACAAAGCAAAATTAAACATATTAGTGTTAGGACAACCATCCTTTTTTCGGTATCCCACAAGAGTGTAATATCTAGCATTTCCGAACATTCTTCCATTTATTTAATATATATCAGTGCTACACATAAGAGCGTAATTTTTACTGAGGATTTCATTTCAGTCATCTTAGGTTACCTATATATTTCTTCTATGAATACGCCAATGTAGTCTATCTTAACTTATTTGATAAAAAGAAGTGACGCAGTGAAAGTTAGCGCATGAAATGAAATCCTCTCTGAAAATATTATACTCTCATATGCAGCATCCGTTTATCAAATAAATGAAAATAAGCCAGATATTATTATTCCAACCCAATGAATTAGGGGAAACCATTAGGATCTTCGTGAAAAGAAAAGAGCACTTGCAAAGAGTTCGCGATTGGGTAAATGAACACGTTACAGTTTACTCTGCTGCTTTTGTGTGCGAATACGAAAATCAGTATCTGTAGCGCAGAGAGACAAATTACAATCTACCCTTTCCTGTCACTTTCAGGAATTTGTTAACAAACCAAAATCGTTTAGAGCTATAATTAATACACCGGTATGGGCGTGGAACTGCCGCAAATATGAGTTACATGTATATATAGAATAAACACATCAAAGACATGCATTCTACAGTAAACACGTAGGCACACATTCATGCGGTCATAAGTATACGTTACACGTATGTATATAGTGCATAAATCAAGATTTATACATTGTACAGTACACATATAGGTATAGATGCTTCATCTCTCAAGCGTAGGTTACACGCATATATAGAGTGGATAGACGAAGGCCTGTACACTCAATAGTATACGCATAAGTATAAATGCTACATCTCCAGTTAGCAGCCCAGTGGTTACCAAGCAGTGAATGAATAAAAAGCCTACAAATAAATCCAGATATAATTCGTTTTTAACGATATGCTCTCATCACGCTAATACTATATGCAAGCTTAGTGTCAACCCCTGAGCGCTGGTTACAGCACAGTTTATGACCTTAGCTCTGGCCACCCCTGCTAGACCTAATAGATCTTTCCGGAGTGAATCCAGTCAGGCACTAAAAGGAAATTTTCTTCCAGTATTAACTTTCACGCATGTCAATAGAAAGTTAAACGCCCCCCCCCATAACTCAGATTTTATGACAAACTGGAAGATTAGCCTTATCTCTACCGGTTTAAGAGGATTGGCCGGTCAGCCCAGTCCCTACTTAATAGCTCGCGTTAGCTCATGAACAGAGTTGACTAACTACATGGCACCACTCAAAGATGCGGGTCGGTCTTTGCCCAGGAAGCTAGATATTGGCACAGATACTTAACATTTGGAAAATAAGATCTTTTGAAAAGCACCACCGATTAGATCTTAAATATTTATTTTAATACCATTTACAACTACATTTTATGGATGTTTCAATTTTCAGCAAACAAAACATGGACTGAGGTTATCTCCAACGTTTTCAATGTTGAATAAGTTTGTAGGATCCATTTTTCTGTTCATTTAGTGTATGAATGCTGTATATTGAATTGTGATTCTCACCAAAAATTCCTTGCGAAGCATCGGTTATTAACACTTTAACGCATGTTGATTATAAAACGCAAATATTGTGCAAGTTATAGCTTGAAATAAAATCTTCAATTAAAAATAATACTTCAGTATACAGCATTCATTTACTAAGTGAACAGGAAAATCAACAAAATTGCTTTATTATCAGTAAAGGGTTGTGGAAATTATACAGCTTTTTGATTGAGATCATGAACCGATTGATGTTAGACCACCATTGAAAATCTGGAAGCACTGGATGGCCGTTTCGGCCTATTTTGAGACTCCTCAGAAGTGCGCATCCACGATCTCGCTCACTAGTGATTAGCTTCGTGAGGGAATTCTAGGAGTTCTAGTGAGAAGCCGTGACCGGTGGAGTTAATCCGTATCGGGTAGAGACAGGTATATACCTCAGTACAGTGGAAGATGATCGCGCGATTTCGTGGATTGGTTGATATTAGACACTAACACCATTGGATGCCGGCTCAGTGGTCCAGTAGGTAAAGTGTTCGCGCGCAAGACTGAAGGCCCTGAGTTCGAATCCTGCTGGTGGGAGTCGTGGATGCGCACTGCTGACAAATTCCAAAATAGGACGAAACGGCCGTCCAGTGCTTCCAGGTTACCAACGGTGGTCTAATATCAATCGGTCCATGACTTTAATCAATAATTGCTTAACACAACATAAATACAGAACATTGAAAAAGTTACAGATTACTTAAGCTTTAAAAATATATCTGTTTATTCTAATCTGATATGACATATACGTTAGAGCATTAAGAGTCGTTTTTAGTAGTTAATGTTTATCTTCAATTTATACGGTTCTATGTTGAATAATCACCTGAAATTATTAAAAATATACATGTATTCTTTATAAGTTTGTCAAAGAACACAGTAATGTTTACTATAGTTTAATTAATTAATGGTTACTGGAATAAGTAAGTTGTCGAGAGAAAAAAAATGAATAGCAAGGAAATCTTTCGAAAGAAAATGAAATGATTAAATTTATAATCTGTTAAAAACGATTTATTATATATCCCTAATGGTGACAAAACTAGGATAAACAGCTATCTCATTTGATTGTTTCTAAGGAAAAACAGGAAAATGAATTCTTTTCAAATACTGAGTTGAGTAAAAAAAATACAGATATAATGAAATCATTCTAAGTAGCTGGCAGGATACTTTTCCTAACCTAGGTTTCTTGTTAGTAGATGCTCTTCATCAAGGGGTACTTGGAATCTTGAAGGGACTGATGTGCTTTGAATCCCTATCATTCATCTTCATTGTCTGAAATATTACCACTAAGCCATTCGGGATGCAGTTAACCCTTTTCGAAATGAGATTTCTACAACTGACTGATCCCTGATTAGGGACCTATGTCATATTTATCTAGTTCCCTTACAAAGATGATTGAATTCTATGGACTAATCTGAACTGTGAGCCAATTTAACAGAATGGACATTGTACACACTGTACTCAAGTGTTAGGTTGTTGGTTGTAGTATGCGAATATGCATTTGTTTAACGGTATTTTTATACCACTCTCCTGGTAAACTTTCTCTGAATTCATCAAAGGTTAGAATATATCTTACATTTCACAAATTACCGTTGATTAGTTATGCATCTATTACTCAGCTCTGAATCACAAATGACGTAGTAATGCACCGATTTAACTTTTCTATTATGGTGCATTGTAGTCATGTAACTGGTTACATATTATCATGTGAGTTTTTGAGATATAACAATAGAGAATAAATCGGTTGACAGTTCGCATATTCTTATTGAGGATTAGGGTAAATACAAGAGTCTGTGCGAACTAGTGCTCGTTTGGATATACTGCCAATGTTGATGGTCATTCGTTTTGTTGGTTAAGCGGAAGTCATCAGTTTTGTTGATATAGGTTAAACCCCCACATGGTTAACTTAAGAGATTCCATTTGACATCAGCACACTTAGCAGGTATATCGAAATTGAGTTTACAACTAAACATATAAATGTAAATTATGACTAACTTCGGTCATACTGAATCCTAGGACACGACACATATAAGTAGGCATAGATGTAATTAACGAATAGAAAGACCAATTGAAGCAAACATGACAAATTATAATTGACCAAACCGGAGCTGACTTAAATATTTGACGCCATGGAACTGGATTTTTATGTAAAACTCTCGTTTCAACTGAAATATTATCTAAACTAAAAGAGAGGAAATTCCATATGAAAGAAAAAATAAATTCAAAGATCATCATCAACAAAGTCATGATGAAATAGTATGAATTTGAAAAATGAATAACATGCTATTACCATATATATTTCCTGTTAAAAAGACTAGTATAACAGGCAATTTGCTCTACTTAAAAGCCATCCTGAAGGATAAATGTAATAGCCATTACATTGTCCAGGTTAAATTTAAGAGAGACTATCGACATTTTTTGTCCAATTTTTTTCAATTTTTGCGAAAATAAATTAAGTTCTTCACCAGATAGCTGAGCATGAGTCACACCCTAAGTATGAGGAATAATGGTATTATCCAATTGCCTAGAACAAAGTACATAGAGCAGAGTCTAATCAGTCTAGAGGTTTTCTGGAGATTTTTGAACCTTGTGGTATAATTCATGCATTGAAATTGGTTGCACAGCCATTCGAGATCAGGAAGTGCTACACAGCTATATTGTCCTACAATGGGACTCCTCAGCAGTGTGCACCCACAATACCATCAGGGGTTGGATTCAGAACCACCTGGTCTCTGGGACAACTCATAAGATTTAGATCACTAATCCGGCATTCACTGGTTTAGATATCTAATATGAATCAATTCAAAATATTGCTAAGCCATCTTCCAATATCATAGATGGTTTACTGACTTATACTAAACATGATTAAACTATATTTGTCACCGCTTCCCACTAGAATCATGAGAATCACTTCTCAAACTTATTGATCAGTGGGAACAGGACTGTTATTATCATAGGGGGTCCGTAGAGATACCAGGATGGTCGTTGACGTTCAGTACTAAGTAGCCTCATACTAGGATCAAATAGCAGAGCAATACTTCCTGGTTTTCAATAGTTTTCTAAGGTCACTTCGTATTACAAACTATAAAATACATATGTGACTGGAAATGACTAATTATGTTTAATAAAGCGTCTTAATAAAATATGAATTATTCACATTTTAGAGTTAATTCAACCAGACAGATAAAGATTATGGTCACTTAATCCATAAGACAGTCCCAATTAAAAAAGGCTGATCTCCAGTAAAAGTTGAATAGTGGTTAACAGTGAAACATGGGATAAGTATTTTGTTTTATTTCGGACTCATCAGTCGAAAGTGTCTTGATGGACACATTAGAACTTTAACGCAATCTTAATAAAAGACCTTTCAAAATAGTTTCGGATGCACGTATATCGATAGGAACTGATCGATTGCAGACCTCAACATCAACAACGAAAAGATAAAAGTCCTCATAAATAAATAAAAACTGTCTACGATTTAGTAACATACTCGTTTATATAGCTCTGACAGAGTTCATTAACTATGTGAACTGTTCATATGTACATTGATCTCGCTAGTTTACTTTCATTTCATATAACATCACATTTTAAGCGGTTAATAACTTACCATGCTTTATATGTTTTAAGCAACATTCCAGCCATCACAATTGATTGATCACTGGGTGACCAATGTCATGCGTGTCTAGTCCTTATTATTAGTACAGATCGAATGCTATCGATCATGTTGCAATGTGGCAACCAGTCTAGGTGACTCGACACCACGGGCACTATTGTAAGATTAGATGGTGGTTGGAGGTGGTCGACAGGAAACCCTGGACCCGAGTTTCGTGCTACTTGGCACTCGTCAGCAAGGTGTACCTGTAATCTTTGAGGGAACTGGTGCTCCCTGGCGGATTCGATCCCGTGTCACTCAGCTTCACAGTCAGAGACGTTACCACTGAGCTATCCGGGCCGCGACCGACCTCCTGTAGGACTGAGATGTGAATCCTAAACCTTCTTTGTATTTTTCAGAATTCAGTTTAAGTAATCACATCAATAAAACTCTTAGTTTTTACAGTTCTGAGATACTCTTCCGATGCTTAGAAAATTTTATCCCGCAGGGTTAGTCAGTAATGTGGTGTGCGCTACTGTGTATCATCAATCGAAAGTGAAATGCCCAGTGGCAGAAGGTTAAGAAGATCAAAGAAAAGAGGATGAGAACAGTGAATGATTGCTGTGCAAATGAAGGAACAATGAAGTTTGAGACGATTGACTGATATTTGCAAAAGGAACAGTCGAGTTTGAAACAAGTGATTGGCATTTTGTAAATGAAGTATTTACTGTGTGGTTCTCAGATTTTACTAAGTTGTCCTGTAATTTTGTATTCAAATTCATTAGATTGTCCTCACTTGTGTTCTCGTTCACTACAGTAGGAATATATACTATCATTAATTGATTTCAGGTCTTTAGTAACCAAATGATGTGAACAAAGTGATTGGTTCTATTTCGAATCAAACATGTTGCCAGAACATATAACTGTCCGATCGGTTAACTGAATCGAAACTATAAACTTATTGTGTTATTCTTGTATAAACCAGATGTCTGTGTACTCAGTTCTACATGCTTGGTTCAGTTGTTATTGTTACTCCTAATTCTGTTGAAATTACTTGTTAAAGAACTGTAGACAATGACAAACGTAACATGATTAAAAGTAAAGTGATCCAACCTACTGTAAGTTTTTTTAATATCTTCATTATTAAACAGTGATTTAATGGAAACGAAGCAATTTTAAGGAAATCACTTTGATTTGTAAGTTATATTTGTTACAGACTAATCTCAGTCAGGTTGCTGTAGAGAACCAGAAAGGATTGTAAAATTGTTCTGTCTTAATTTGGGACTCGTTAGCAGTGATCGAATCCGCAACATTCTGGTCTACTGGCAAACGTTAAATCATTGCAACTATTAATTCACTCTCCAACAATATAATTCCGACTTCAATCAATTTGCAATATTGTGTGACGATAACTCGATGCATTAATGACAACCGTTTCACTCTCAATATTTCTGACCAGTTGAGTCTTCTTTTTAGGACTTCAGTAACATCTTGAAGTCACTAGAGAGCTGATTATTACAGTTTATTTGATAGTGTTTAGTGTAAATCACTTTAATATGTAGGCTGTGTTCTTTAAAGGCTGATCTCAGTCACTTTAAGATCTCCCTGATGATCTAGTGAGAAGACGCAAATGGTAGAGTTCAGGTATATCAGAAGTAAAAGTTATCACTAATGGTATTGAACGATCGTTGCGCAATCTATGACACAAAAATTAATAAAATGAAATAAGTAAATACCTTCTTGAATCTGTTGAATTCACGATATCACTTGTCATTTTTTTCTAGAAATAATAAAAGATGGATAAATAATTTTGTATTTCTTCAAATCATGGTCGAAAACATCTAGATCAACTAAAAAAAATTCAAGATTGAATAATCGACAAGGGAATTTGTATCTCAGACTGATGTATTTTATTGTTATGTTGAATTTTCTGAGCTTATTTATTTGATTGCTTTTCGGAATAACATAATAAACAGTGCTTACTTCAAAAATATAAGTTAACTTTTGAGGAATACTACTCGAAATTCTCAATCAGTTCGTACTAATAAGTAAGGTTATGCTTAGAGGTATTGTTGTCTTCATGTTCCCATGTCTAATTACGCATATAGGAAGTGATCTAACATCGATATTATCAAAACATGCAGACGATTAAGAGAACACATTTTAAAAAATATCGAGATTCTGAACTGAGAAAACGCTGAAAATGCTGCAGAACGTCACTTTGACCAGTGTTCAATTAATAAACATTTTGACACAAACTTAACTTTGCAAGGTATGAGGTGAAAGTCACCAGCAATTCAACCGACTTGACTGCTACCCTGATGTGGTGGCTAGGCTTGGATATTGAGAGGAACTAATGGAGTTATATTAACTGAAACTTTCATTCCTCTTGGTTATACCTTGTCAAGAGTGTTGGCTGGAGAAGATTAGGGCTTAAAGCAGCAAACTCATAGTCCGGAGACGCAGTCACATTATTGACTATACTCAGACGTCACACCAGTAAAATGGTTTTCTTGGGTAATAAGCATATGCATTAATGCCTCATTTAAACGGAAAAAAGGGGTTAGAAACGACAAGCTTTAAAAATACTGCACTTTACCTAGCCCAGTGGATTCCCTTCTCAAATTTCAAAGCGTTACAAATGGAGAGGAAAAACATCCTAAACTGTTCACAAAAATACTATGTATGACTAACCTTGGATAGCTGTCCCTTGGGATGTGGAGTCACTTCCTCAGGTTATAGAGCTCACCCGTAACCCAATTTCTTCTTATAATACCTTACAAAGAAGTATACTTCTACTGTGCAAAGGACTGGGAATCGAGAACCTTCCCTATACATCTCATATAACTTAGAATTACCTTGTTGCCATGATCAAACCCATTCTCAATGAATTCTTCAACTCAACTGGATTCAATGAGATGGCTAGACGATAATAGCGATACTAGATGTTGACGGTAACTGGTTCTAGATGATAACTCTTCATAAAATTTAACCACACTGTAAGAATATAAATATGGTCCTAATAATGACACAATCTATGCACATTTAACACGCATTCAAAAATTACCTAATGGCATAATACATTGCATTAGATGAAGTTCAATGCTACTTTCAGTCACTTCAAAGCCCTTAGAATTATGAATTTATTCCATCCTCTGGTACGTATTTGAACTCATGCTAGGTTAACCCTATTCTAGGTCTAATATCGTCTTAGTTTACTTAGGTTCACTGTTTCCAAGCTTTATACATTAAAGTTGGGTGGTGACTAGAAGTAGAATCTGTGATATGCATTTCGCCTAATTTGGAAATCACTAGGTAGAAATGTCTAAATTTCATTGTTGATTTTCACCCCAAGACTCAAATTCAATACACTGTGTTTTTCATCAAGTTACTGAGTTCAAGCTAAAAATATCGAAACTGATCAATCACACTCCTGGAAATTAACAATAGGAAATCACAAACTTTTACCGTTTTACACAAAATCCATATCTAGACAAAGTTCAACTTACTAACTTGTTATCATTTTCAGAATAATTATTTATTGATGCTGATAAAATATATTGTTTCTCAGTTGAACTAATCCATGGATGTTGATTAGGATTATTAAATACTAAAATAGCCCAAATTCCAGAGAACAGTACAGCGGTTACCCCATAAATATAATGAACATAAGGCCAATAGGAAATATAAGTTGGAGTTGTTAAATTTGTCGAATGAACTAATCTTGGTTGTGAAATTACACCAGCTAATGATTGACCAATAACAGCACCAAATACTAAACCTTAAGAAAATTTTTTTTTGAATACAACAGGCTAACATTAAATTCAGGAAAGATATGCAGTTAATATATGTTAAATGAAAATGAGTAAATTCTAAAAAATGTTACGTACTTACAAGTACATATTATTAACGACTGTTAAGCAAAAACACTAGCTGATAATGTATAATATTTTAACTACTTAATATTTTTAGGTAGGTAAATAAAACTTTAAAAAGTTTAATTCCACTTCTGTATAAATTAGTGATATGAACTCGGTTAAATGTCAGTACATTCATGAGAACTTCAACTTTTTAGTGGTATAAAATTATTTAATTGAATTTGTATCAGTTATATGTTTAAACATAAATATTCTTATAAAAGATTATAAACTCAACACACAATTCATTATCATAGTTTACGTAACGGACTGATCTTCCTAAGTGGACAACCATTAAAACTCAGAAAGCACTGGACGGCTGTTTCATCATAGTAGAGGACTCCTCAGAAGTGCACATCTACGGTGGGAGATGGACGCGTGGTACTATGGATTGATTGAAGTTAGACGTGTGCATCATCGGTAGTTAGTTCAGTGATCTAAACGATAAGCTCTTGCATGTGCGACCAAAGGTCCTAGGTTTTATCCCCGGATCAGGTCGATGAGCAGAACAGTTCCCTACTCTAACTGAGATCAGTCTGTGACGTAAGCTATAAAAATTTCGCCATCTCCACAAACCACCCTACACTAACGAAAATCACCATTGGACAGAATTTAACATTGATCAACTTTAAACCTTTCAAAATATTTCCTATTTATGGTAATACACTTAACGCATCCGCATTTCCACCATTTACAAAATCCCTGGATGTATTTAGAAATCAGGTATTTTATTTGCGTCATAGTTTCACGTTTTATCTCTTATTCGTTGCTTTGTGATTCCGAAAACAAATGATGTACGCGTAGAACGATGATTCTTCTCAGCTTTTTGGTCAGGTGTTAGGCAAATTGGAGACAGTTTTTGGAGATAATTTTCTCAACCACAAGTGTTTTGCTTGAATCGTACGTACAGAGTTTTCCAAATCTAGTTCTTCAGCGGACATACTGGATGTTTTCACTAACATCAAAGTTTAAAAGTCAGTTCACACTTGTAATTGATACATCACGTAAGTGCCTCTAAATAATTTTAATATGTTTGCTTACTAACCCTGAAATATATTAGATTTTCTATTGTGTCGCATAATTCGTGTTAAACCAATGAAATTAATAATAGTCAGAATTATCTAACACTACAAATATCATTATTGTAATCATGTAACTGACCCAAGGAATATAATAAAAGAAGCCATGACAGTTAGAGTTAAAATATTTTGGATAAGATCGTAACAGATGCTGGTTGCGTAGTATTGCGAGTTGACTAACGTTAGTAATGTAAAACACTGAATGTGCAGGTGGTAGTTAGTGGGTAAACAGCTTCGTGTAAACCATAAACATCTTAGGTGTGATCTGTGATGAGTTAATCAGCGCGATATAATGAGAATAAAACAGACATCTAGTCCTACCTAGTTTTCAACAGCTCGTGAACTGAACTATGAATTGTATAATTCCTACAAATCTCCTATATCGATAATAATAGAAGTAATAATAAAACTATGACATAATAATTCACAATCTAGTAATGTAAAGTAAATATTTTTTTCCACAATATTATATTTAAACACAATTCAGGAGTATAAGAAGCAAATAGAAATATTTTTTTAATTTTGTGAAAAGTAAAAACATGATTAAATAAAATCATCAAACCTGAGAAAACGAATGTGGTAAATCGACTTTTTTCACTTGGTGGTGACCAATTTCCAACTAAACATCCTGTATTTGGCATCACTACACCCTTTTGCGGAATAAAAATGAAGTAAACAAAATGAAATGCAAAGATAAATAAAGTAATGACCATATGGAACGGGATATTGAATATGATTGATTGATCGCCGAGTAATGGTGACTAATATCATATCTGGCTAATCACTTTAAGTAGATGGTCAAATTCTGTCGACAAATTTCGGTATGATCACTGGTCTGAGCGACTCGATATCACGTGAACTGTGTTGAGAGATTATGTCAATCAATCGGGAACATCATGGACCAACAGTTAGTCATTCAGTCATGAAGTGAATAGCTCAGTAGTAGTAGTTCGATATAATCACCTGAAACAGGATTATACATATAGGGCTTTTAAAACTTTGGTAACAACTACGAATCAGAATCTAGTGATTTGCATTTCCAAATTTAATAATTTATAGTGAGATTATGATTAACTGTGATCGAAAGGTACTTAACTGTATAGCTCAATGAAAACTTGGTTAGCTCTACAGTTCTGTTATATTTTAGTTATTGTTAAATTTGTGTGGCGATAATGAATGAATACGAAGAAGAAAGAGGAGAGACAGAAAATATATTTGAATCAGATCACAAATAAAAGTATGGAAATGACTGGTCTATTGCGTTCTGTTACCTGATTCAGTAAAGAATTATTATGTACACTGAATCAATAAATATATAAGTGAATGCCCTTTTGAACCAGACAAAGGTTTATTAAAATCTTGACTAAGTGTATGATTGACTTACTCTAATGGTGTATCTCGTTTATAATATCTCGTCTATTGTTCGACCTTGAGAGGATGTAGGCACAGGCAAATGGTACAATTAAACTCGCCTATCATTTTCTGAACTTCTTTACCTTAAATTAATTTATTCACTGTAATGCTGTGAAATGTTGTATCTTGAACTGCTTTACATTTGTACATGGCCTTAAATTATTTATAGTAAACCCACTGATTGACAGGATGACTGACAAGAACTACCTTACGAATTAATCATTTTATTCTCAACCTAGATCACAAATAATAAGCTCAAGTAATTGCTAATCAGGAAGTTGATCCAGGGTTTTTTGACATTTGAAATGTCTCAAATTTACTTGACGTAAACTTAGCAAGTTTTAAAGACAAATCCACATGATAAATTTATTTCTGTGTCTAAAAACTACATAGACTATCTTAAACCAGCCAGATGGATTAAAAGGAGGGGCTATCGGATTTTATCACAGTATTTAAAACGTGGTGACAAATAACTTATAACTTATCTAAAACTATGTAAAGGTCAGCAAAATTTACCGATATTTTGTTAGTCAGACGTAAAACATGGACAAACATGAGGAGGAATGAATTTTAAAAAGACAGGAAACTTATTATTTTTAAGGTAAAATTATTAAAAAACGGATTGTTTGGAATCCTAAAGCCGCCTGGAAGTTCCTGAGGTAGCACTATATTTTATGAAAGCGGATTTAAGATAGTGTCTCGTAGTCATTTGTATGGAATTCACCAGATTATACGGCGATAATGCTCTATAGCCAAGCTATGTAACCTTAACCGTTGTACTATAGCTGATGTTAGTTCGTAATCAAAATCTTAACGCTTTTTTCCTTTACTGGAAGAAACAACTCACATAAAAATGTACCTTATTCATGTCAGAACTCCTTATGCTTGTAATGTTGTCATTTTATTTATAAATTACTTCATCACCACACACTATATTCTAACTGGCTAATAAATCACTCTCAATCATTTGAAATTTTCAAGGTCATCCATATTGTTTACTATACCAAAAACTATCATGTAAGGGTATTATTCAAGTCATAATATGGACATGAATTTCCGACTAGACTTCTAGAAATTGAATCATTATCTGTAACACAACCAATATATTCAGAACTTTATATCAGATGTGAATAATATTCTCCAATACAATTGGTAGATATTATCAATGAAAGTAAGAGACAGATATGTATATTTACATGTTAATGTAAACGGTCGAACTGTAAGAAGAAGGTAGTGAACTCACTCATAAACTACATTAACTGAAATTAATTTGAGATGTTTTATAGATGATTGTGATGAGTTGAACTGAACAAACGGTGGGACTATAACTTTTGAAAGAACCAAACTGACTTAAGATAGAGAGGTTTAAGTCTTGACGCAAAATTCATCCATTCATATTGTTAAATAGTATTTTGGGATTATAGACAATCTCAGTTCGTGATGGAAACTCTAATCCTAATTCATAACCTTAACTTGTAACAATAAATCCTGATTCTGATTTCTCACACTAACTTACAACCCTCTTTAGGCCTAAGTAAGTTGGTGAATTTTCTCAAGGCTACATTGGTGTCACTCAAAGGTTGTCCATGAATTAAAGTCTCACCAGAAAAATCTTGTTCCATGTCCCAAATTGTTATTAACTGTTTGCTTGCCTTTGATGTTTCATTAGCTGTATCACCAAGACATCATAAGAATGAATAGAGTGTGAAAACAGTAAACATTTTACCGAATGGTTTATCAATTTAAACAAACGACACAATGAATTTAACAAGATAAACAAATCTAAATAGATTGACATTCAAAATAAAACATCCACATATTTTCATATAAACAAAATCGAATTTGGCTGTGATACATTTTTCATTATTATTATCTTAATGAACATCCGCAAACATTCAAATGAAATTCAGTGAAAATGAATGAAAAGTGTGGCAGATTGTTAAATCATAATCACACACACACACACACACTAGGAGGGATATAGATAAAACAATTAATCCTCATGAAGTGTTTTGCAGCATCTGAACAGATTATCCAGTAATATAAATAAATACTAACCAAGAAATATTAGACTAAAGATCAAAGATAGATAGGAGTTCATTTCATTATGAAACTTGTTAAACAGTGAATAATTTCGACAGTTATCATGTGATATAACTACGATAATCACGTGGTTATAATTAATACGGATTAAATAACTAAGAGCACACGCAATGTAACACAATCTCGACTAATGTAGATTAGACAGAATGTTGCAATACACATTATATATATATATATATATATATATATATATATATATATATATATATATGCTCAAAAGGCTAACCAGGGTAACTAGGAATACAATTATCCTACTAAAGAAAAGACAGTTCAACCAGTGAAAACTAATTTCATTCACAACAGTAAACAGCTTATCTATTATGATGGTAATGTATCTGATGAAATTAAAACTATTTAAAAGTATGTATTTAAATAATGAACTACTTTCAGGTCTTTTGGATAAGCCTGCTACAAATGATCTTCCACAAGGACTAATACCATCAGAGCTTCAGAACCACTGAACACTGAGTAACAATAATGAATTGTTAATCTAATGCAAAAGTAGAACGCAGTAAGCACACATACAAGCTTCAACAAGATTACAGTTGAGTCAAGGTGCATCACAGGAATACGTCAAAATTTATCATTATTTATAATTATGTGGTTGATGTCTGATTTCAAGAACATGAATGATTGAATAACATCCTATATAAACGGGAAATCTGTAATGATTTATCGAACGAAGTGATTGCCAATAGTATTCTAGTGTTCAAATAAATAGTTCCTTTGGCGAAATTGTAACCAAAGCTAAGGTTAATTATAAGAGTTTTCTGGAATCAGTTGATCAGTTTGTATTGATAAATGGTGATTCATGAATCAACGAATACTTCGACAGAGCTTGAGGGAATACCCGTTTGACGACTTAAAAATAAAATAAAATATTTGTCCTGGTATTAACTATTAGGCCAGTATCGACACTATGTTGTCTGTTTAGTAAATATGCCAGATGAGCTTTTTTAAAACATTTAATGAGCATTTTTTATTTTTCCCTTCCTTTCTATTCAAAACACTCTTCATTTGTGACAATATACTTGTTATACTTGTGCTCCCATTGCTAAAAATGTCGATGGAAATCATCAAAAATCAGCCTCTTCAGATGCAATATCTTTTCACATTTCGCTAGTAATGCAAGTAAAGGTAATTTTTTCAAAATTTTATTCATCAGTAATCATTTCGAAGGTACGAAAGACCACACATGTTTGATGTTGTTGTCAACTTGATCAGATAATCTTTCACAACCCTTACGGAAACTTTTGATCCATTTATAAAGAAAGTATTTTCCTTAATCATTTATCTCACCAAACAACAACTTGGGAAGATATGTGTAAACAAAACTGAACTGTAGATAACTTTTACGACCCGAGAAGGAAATCCCGCAACCGAAGGACAAATACTTGAGGCCATGCATACACAGTCTTTAAAAGGGAAGATTTGGATGTATAGCTCCTCACTTTCACTGCCTATCTACAGACAATTAAAACATGTAGGATGAGATAAAGTGTACTATTCATAGGGATGACTTTTTAACTCCCTCCTTCAGTTGTGTGAAGGCAGCAGCACCACAGATGCCGATTGTCTAAGAAAAATACCTTATTGCTGTCACATCCTAGTATAACCAGCAATGCGGTTTCACTCTCAGAATATGAGTTTCCTGTGTTTAGTCATGCCGATCTGTCTAACAAGGTAGTATCTGCAGTAACCGATACTCCAACCAATATAGCTCGAATAGGTCTTCAAATATGCAAGCTTGACCACCTAATGATGGTAGCAGCTACGACCAACCATTATTTTTAATCAGAAATACTAATTTATCATAAAAGCACAAAAGTAAGAACCAAAACTGTCATAGAAAAAACAAACGAACAAGAATCATTCAATTGTCGTCATTATCTGTTGGTGTGATTATTAGTCATGATTATGAAATTGATAAATTCTTTTTCTTCCAAAAAAACTAACAGACACAATTGAAACGTTGAACCACAATGAACTAGAATTCAATCATGTAAATTCATTATAGCCTTTAACAGATGATCATATTTAGTAGTTGAATTCATGAGTCGATTAAAGCTAGACCATCTGGAACTCAAAACAATTGGCAACCAACACCAAAGTCAGAATTTTCAATACAAATGTCAAGACAGTTCTACTGTATGGGGCGGAAACCTGGAAAACTACGAAATCCATCATCCAGAAGATACAGGTGTTTATTAACAGTTGTCTACGCAAAATACTTCAGATCCGTTGGTCGGACACTATTAGCAACAACTAGAAAAGAAGGCCCAGGACAGAGTGGGTTGGAGACTGCTGGTCGGCGGCCTATGCTTTATTGGGAGTAACAGGCGTAAGTAAGTAAGTAAGTACCTTGGAAAACCTAGAAGCACAGGATGGCCATTTCGTCATTGTATAGAACTCCTCAGCAGGTTTTCCAATGTGGTCTATCTTTAATCGACTCATGAATTCAACTATTAAATTACTACAATCTCCACACAACCCCTTTCAGATGATCATAATGTTAATTATTTTTTGTCTTAAGAAATCATATTAAGCAGAATAACTAACAATTATGTAGTTTAATTTTTGTACCATAATAAAAAATAAGTAATCACTTGGAAAACAAATAATTAACATCAAATAAATCGTTTTTTACCGTCTCTCTATCTTCTCTCTAACAATGATACATGCGACTATATAAATGTAGTGTTGTTTCATTTTTGTAAGTTGGCAAATAAAGTTTATTCTTAAAACCTGTACTTTAGAATTCAATACTGTTTGAATTTAATCAGAATTTCCTCTTACGCTAAGACGGGTAAAAGTAGAGGCATATCTCTTCTATAGTAAAAGGATTTTAATGTGAATGTGATTAGTGTACCTAGTTATCAGACATGTATGTATGTTGTATGAAAATCATCGATACTGGTGAACTAATTGGTGAAGTGACGAATCTTTGGAGACAGGTGGTTGGGACACGTGTGACGTAACCTTAACAACCGCCTATCTTGATGAGTGGTATTTGCTGATGTAGCAGAAGGTTCGAAGAATGTTAGGAGTGACCAAAGTATAACATGGTAGCTCATGAAGTCAATAACTATCGATATCAATCATGTTAGCAGAAACAAACCACATGGTTAGAGTCCGCGTAATAAATGCGATCGGTATTTAAAAACTTTGGGCAATATGGATAAGAATCTTCCACAACAGGGCATATATATTCATTCTTTATCTTCCTCTAAATCTTAAGTTTCATTATTTCTTCATACATACCTTTTTATACTGTCTCTTCGTACCATATTTTCAACGCACAGTCTTTCTAATTATTAGTGAAACTACATTATTTTGATTCCTCTGTTATATGTCCTTTTACTTTCAACTTGGACCAACGTACATCGACGTTTATTGCGACTGACACCCACCAAACTAAACAGATATATATGTAGTGAGAATTCCTATTTTGACATATGGTAAAAAGAACAAGTCGAAGAAATTTCTTTTCATTTAGTCTTTGTTGAGCAAATGATAGGTATGAGTTATTAAAAGTTCTATTCTCGCTCACTCGATGGACACAGTTCATCAAGTTGACTTGAATAAAGTTTTTAAGGTTATCTACTTTATCCTATCAAATTTGCCACATGGTTTACGAGTTCGCCTTTTGCGCATTCCTGGAGCCATCAGAATCCATGTTCACATACCTAACCTTTTCATCCAAAAACGTTTGTACAACAACTCTCGCTACCTTGGCCATTGGTATAGAAATGAGTTTGTAGCTAAACTTAGACGAAACCCTTTCCTTCAAAATTATTTAAACTATTTTTAATTTCATCCACTTTTGTAATTTATTCTCAAAATTCGTCCCTTGATTCTTACATAACTACCATAACACTTACCGTTCATCAAACTATTGTGTTAATTCTTTCTTTTTATATATTATACAACGTAGCAACTGTTTGATTTTTCGAATAATTACTTTGATTCTTATAATCCAGTTTCTTCCAATCACTCGATATTATTTTATAATCAGTCCGTCATTATGTAGTTATTACGTAATGTAACTACTCGATGAGTATTATTTGGTTGTTGTAAATCATATATATATTTTCGATGATTAAGATCATGAGTCAGTTGAAGCTAGACCACCATGGAAAACCTGACTCATGATCTTAATCATTGAAATTACTACAATCTCCACAAAACCCCTTCTGATTATATATATATATATATATATATATATATATATATATATATATATATATATATATATATACTAGGACGAAAAGGCCGTTCAGTGCTTCCAGGTTTTCATTGGTGGCCGGTTCATGATCTCAATATGAACTTAACAACTTCCGAAATCCGGTACTGATAATTATCATGTGCTTACTAGTAACTAACTTCGAGAGGTAATTTTTGGAGTTCAAGTGAGAAACCTAGGCCAGTGGAGTTCAACCGAGTCAGGTTTTAGAGTGTTATCCGTCAAAGATAATGAAAGATGGTCACTCAATGTTATGGAGTGATTGAGGTTAGATATTAACACCATTTAATTACGACTCAGTAGTCTAGATATTAAGTGTCTGCGCGCTAGGTCGAAGGACCTAGGTCCGAGTCTTGCGTTTGGGATTGTGAATGCGCACTGCTGAGTCCCACACTAGGACAAAACGGAAATCTAGTGCTTTCAAGTTTTTAATGGTGGTCAATCTTACATCGGTTCATAAACAAAACAAAAACTCAACAATCTCTGTGACCCTATGCTGATATCGAAATCAATTTGGTATCCAGTGGGACTGACAAATTCATAGTTTAGTAAATAAAGAATATGTATTTGACAAATTGTTTTGATAATTAGTTTGTTTTAAAAATGAAAACTTGAAAAAAAGAAATTTTCTTTCCTGGAAATTTGTCGCATTTTTTAATGGGAAATTGTAAATTTCGCATTGATTTATCGTTGAGAAATACAGATCAATGTTTAATTATCCATTCATATTCCCGACCGTTGTTGCTACCTTGACGTGATGGCCAGGATTGCCTTTCGTGATGAAGCAACTGAACTATACTGGCTGGAACAATCGTTCCTCAATGTCCTACCATCCCAGATAGGTCTGCTGATGAACGGTAAGACTAAAAGCAGCAAAACCAAGGTCCAAAGGCGAAGTCGTACTGCTGACTGTACAGAGGTGTGACGGCAGTAATGGGTTTCCTTCAGACAACCAGCATAACAGTGATGCTGCCCGTCTCACAAGGAGGGGTGGGGTTAGAAAAGGTCGACCCTGAAAATGGACACCTCACTTTAACCCATGGATTTCCGTCTCCGACAGTAAGGTCCCAACAAGTACGGAGCTAACATGAAAATTACTCACATAAAGGTCGTGTGTGACCGGCCTCAAGCAGTTGCCCCTTGGGCACTGCGGTCACGCTCTCAGTTCTCTAAGACCACCTCTAATCCAATTTCCTCTTCAGGTACCTCCAGAAGAACCCTTCCACGGTATGGGCAACCGGGAAGTGATATCCTCCCTCATACCTCTAACAGCACTCAAGACCACTGTATTCATAATCAACCTCTTTCCTCCATTAATATTCTACATCTCAACAAAAAATCACTTATAGACGCTTTCCGTTCGTGATTTTCGATAGGAATAAACTACGGTATGTAACGTGTAATAGTGTTTATTTTCTCTGCAATATGTACATATATTTCTCGAATTACCTGCAATTTTTTTTAATATGAAACTTGAATCGCTAATTGTTAGTGCTGTTATAGAGACGGTAGATTGTTTAGAAGACATTAATTGATTTATGAGTTTGTTTGAATCATGAAATGGATAGTAGCTAGAAAAAATTCCTTTAAAAAAAACTAGAAAGTAGTTGATGGCTACATTTTTATTTACGAATAATTATCAGAAAACAAACAATCAGTGTTGATTAGGAATAAAACAAAACACGGTCTCTAAGTTTTGCACAGGAATTACGATAACAATCAGTTAGTGTTTTATAAGAAATTTAAATGAAATTACTGTATTTGGCAAAGTATGGATTTTAATAATTATTCGATCAAATTTGGTCAGCACTGAAAGGATTAGGCGAACACAAAACGGGTTATTGTTGAGTGATCAATCAATTGTAAATACCTCAGTGCTATATGAAGTCAGTTGTAGCGCGAATAGCTTAGTGGTAATATTTTGCACTGTGAAGTTGGGTGATATGGGTTTGAATTCAAAATTATAGATATGCTTTCCTGACAAGTGTCAACTAGTACGAAACCTAGATTGAATAGGGTACCCTGACAACCACTAAGCATTTCAATAATTATCTCTCTCTGTGAGTGAGTGATGAATACTAGCCTTGTATATTCGTGTCTTCGTGAGTAATGAATAATGGTCATATTTTACCCTATTAGAATTCAAGTGCCCATTTTGAATTAGTAATAAGCAACGTTGGATCTGTTACAAATTGCCAGAATCAAGTCAACACAATAAGATGAACTTATCAATATGACTAGAATTTAATTTGGAATGAAGAACAAATAATCTTTAAAATTTTTTTCCAGCAAATATATCTATCTTACTTCGATTATAAACATGAATGACTATGTATAAATATGACCAAGGTAGGGTGATTTTTTTCATTGTAATCAATAATAAAAAAAAACACAAAATAACTGAAAACTTTTGTTATACTGAACAGTGAAAATTAACATATAATACAGGTTGTTTTATGAAACCAGTTTAATCAGTAATCTTACCGATCATTTAATTAATTAATTAAATGATTAATTCTTTAAAAAAAAAGCACTTAATAATTTACCTGAAGAAGACCTTGTATCACACGTAAAATGATTAATAATTCAGCACGAATACGTGCTGCGGTTGGTACACAAAATTCCGTGATAGCACATCCAAATAAACTAGAAAAAATAACCCATTTAGGACCAAAACGAAACGCTAGTATTCCACCTGGAAAGATAAAAGAAAAAAACAATAATTCTAGAGATAACATTTTATAGTGTGAAATAATCAATAATATCAGTCAGTCGTCTACAAGGTAGGACTAGGCACATACATGCATCGGTCCATGTTGCCGCAGCTTATTAGCACAGCAAGATGAACATCGAATTCATAAAATCAATTACTTCAATGGTAGTAATATATAAAAAATGATTGCATATAAGGATATGATACAGAGAGAAACAATTAGTTCGTAGAAAGTAAGGCATAAAGTAATTTTAATCTCACAGTTTAAGGGAAGACAAAGAGTGTATACACCTACGCTACTGTGATTGGCTCTAAGTCATGTGACCCAGGGTCCCCATCCGTTGGTTACTATAGCTGCACGGACCCCAACCAAGTAGTCTGCATTTACCAACATGTCTCAAACCAGAAGTTAGTGACTTTATGAACTGATACCACGTTTTAGTTTGGATGCTTTTAAATTTCTTCTATCTGTTTCCAACACTAGACAGCATTATGAACATGTGAAATAATTGACAGATAATGTGATATGCTTTTCTTCTGGAAAAATAATAGTAACCGATATTTCTATAACGAATTATAAACAGAAGTTCGAAGTGTTTGAGACAAAGATCACAGACTAATCTCAGTTAGACATTCACTGAAATTCAGGAAGTAGTTAACGGATATTTCATGTTAGAATCGAACTCCTCAATAGTATGTCGAGAACCAAACTTAGAACTTTCAGGTCTTTTTCAGTAAGGTCTTAACCTTTGGATCACTAACCCAGCATCCCATGGTTTACATGTTTGCTTTTAATTACTTTGTAATCTTGCGCAACCATTTTTCGATGTCATCGATGAACTCCTCTACATTCAATACAACTGAACTCCATTTGCCACGGTTTTTTTCGCTAAAACTCTGAGACTCACCTCTGGAAATTAATCATTGCAATTTACTATTCACAAACCACATGTCGGTAAACACGACTCAGTGAAAGTGAGGTAAAATGCAAGAAAATATAGACTTATTAGACCACTAAATATACATAACCAAAATGAGGAAACTAAGTTATTAATACATCTATAACTGGTAAGATTTTATTAAGATTTGATCGAATAGAACTTTCCAGTGATTAATCAATCAACCTGTTATATAAAATCAGTCTATATAATATCATAAGGTGAAAATTTTTCGATCAGAAACATTGATTATTAAATTATATCACTAACCGCTTATATTTACATTCATATCTTTAAGAATACTAATTAAATGAAATGATTAAGGTGGACATGGTTAACCGAATGGGATTTCTGTCAAATAAGTGGAATAACTGACAAGATTTAAAGCAGAATTTTCCAGGTAACGTGTTATAATAATTAATGCAGGAGATCCAAGTGTCAACTAGGATTTATTTTCACTTTTTTAATGCATATTATTCCCTGATTTTAGAGAAAAAAATAGACTGGGAGAACAGCTAGTATAATTCACTTGATTAAAACTGAGAACTGATTAAAAGTGCAGCTAAGGAGTTCAGTTGGGACAGTATCGAGGAAGTAACCACCTGTGTACAAGTTTCACATTATTAGAACCAGTAAATACCGTTTGACTTGAAATTTGAGCAATCAAAACACCAAATATTTAATCTAGTCATGTTAATCAACTTTATCAGCCACATACTTGAACACCTGAGCTAATTAAAATATCCGATACGCAAAGATTAGTTTGCCCAAGCAAAAATATTTCATATGTAGTTAGATTTTTCTAAAATCTACTCAATGTATCAAAAATCACTGTCCAATTCACTGAAATAGTTGGGATACGATAGTTATGAACTCGACACTAATGATCCTGAAATTACGTATATATTAATAATACTAATTATTGTGTGTAATTTTTAAAAAAAATGTACGTTAATTATATCATCATTTTACTTATGTATCAGAGAGATCGTATTATTAGTGTTTTTTTAAAAATCGAAATGAAAGATGTAATCGAATGATACAAACAACAGACAACAATAGGAAGAATTCGATCCACATTTAAAAGACTACAAACTAACGACACTGATCATTACTACTCAGTGATCAATCAATTGTAAATACTTTTCAGTCCTACAGAAGGTTAGTCACTTCCCAAATAGCTCAGAAGTAACGTCAAAAGACCTTGGTACTGAGTGACTTAGAATCGAATCTAACAGGGACCACCAGTACCCTTACAACTGCGGGTACACCTTGCTGACGACTATGTCAACTGGGACGGAACCTACGTTGAGCAGGGTTTCCTACAGACTATATCCAACCACCTAATATCAGATGAAATAAACAATTTTTGCAACTATAAACAAAGAAAGACATTTTCACTGATAAAACAGAAGCTAATTTTCCTGAAAAAAGCAGTTTATTATCAAAACCTGTAGAGAAAAACAATGAAATACATTCATTTTAACTAATATACCTATATTGTGTTCATTCAGTATTGCCATCCAAAAACGACATAAGAAGTTAACTTCATTAAATTCCTGCTCATTGACTAAAATCATTTAAAACTGTAAGCATATGCCTACTTACAATACTGTGTATTTTCCGTTATAACATCGTTCCTCAAATGAATTCATCAAAATTCAATAAATAGTTTTTTTATACTGTGATACTTTAGCACAATAGTTCAATGAATGCGGATTGTTCGAATATTCAAGTATAATGCATCTCTCAAATTTTAACTCAAACTCACTATAATAAAAACACTTTTTCTAGTTGCTTCACGGTGCGCAAAAGCTAGTTACTATACAAAAACCCTGATCTATCAGGGTTTCATGCATCTATCATTAAGGCGCACCTACAATTTTGAGGGAAATGTTCGATCACATATCGTTCAGCTACATAGTTTTAGACGCTACAGCTCAGTCATCTACACCGCGACTTACTCCCAGTAGGGATAAGTTATTTACGACTGATTGATTACTGAATAATGACCAATGCTGTATTTGTTTAGAAATTTAGTGCCAACTAGTACAAATCACTTTCTGTCTATTTCCCTGTCGACTACTTTGAAGCATCTGATATCTCAACATAGTTCATATGATGTCGAGTCACTTGGACCGTGTCGGGTGTGAGGCAGTTACCCCCCAAATACAATCGAAGATGGTCACTCACTGTCATGGAGTGATTGAGGCTAGACATTAGCATCATTTAATACCGACTAAGTAGTCTAAAGGTTAAGTGTTTGCGCGCTAGGTCGAAGGTTCTGGGTTAGAGTCTTGCATGTAGGATTGTGAACGCGCACTGCCGAGGATTGCCATACTAGGGCAAAACGGACATCTAGTGCTTCCAGGCTTTCACTGGTGATCTAACTTAGATTACTTCATAAACTAGTTAATTCGATGAAGCTTCATAAAATCTATTTTTAATCTGTCCACTGAATACCACAAAATATTGACAGATTATAGAATTTCTGTTTAAGATCAAAAACATACAGACCAAGGGTTAAATAGGTAGAAAAGCTGCTACCAAGTACCGAACTGGAACTAAATTAATGTCCAGAGCTACTTTTTTTCAATGGTAACCATTCCAACAAAGCAAAACAGTAAAATAATCAAAATTTTAGTTACAGTTATCTGTCGATCACAAATCAAATTGTTCAATTATAATGTTTCCTGTCTTTAGTATGATCCACTTATAATTCTTAGTATACTAATGTTAGATACCTAACATGACGGCTTTAAAATTAATACATGAATTACTGAATCATTGGAAAAAATGTGTTTCCTTATAAATTAACATCTATCTGAAGTGCACGAAGTTAATGATTTTCTGAATTTTATATTTTTTGATAGAGTGGTAACATTCGCTCAATATATTAAGTACAACCTACACATACATAAACTTAATATTATTTTGTATAGAAGATATAAAAGTCAAATTCATTATACAACTTGTATTAATAAATTAAAGTCAATATTTATCATGATAAGTTTAAGGTAAGTACAAACTAATTATGATTAAACAGTAGAGATACGTAATATATGTACATGATTCCTGTGACCCATATTTATATAATATTATAAAAGATAAATTTAGATCAATTTTCTGATCTTTTTATAATTGTTGTGTTTAATAAAAAAGGATTGAATGATTCTCAAATATTGCGTCATTTATGACGTAGGCGAGATATCCGTCTACTAACCAAAGAACGGGTTTGCTGCGCAGCAGTTCGTTCCGTCCTACTTTATGGCAGTGAAACATGGCCAGTAAGAGTAGAGGATATTCATAGGTTACTAGTATTCGATCATACGTGCCTTCGAAGCATTGCTTGTATATCCTGGGACCACCTAGTAAGTAATGCAGTTGTTGGGAAACGGGTGCTAGGTAAGGATGGAAAATCAATTGATGAAGTAGTGGAACTTCATCACTTAAGATGGTTGGGATATGTGTTACGTATGCCAAACCACCGACTGCCCCGACGTGCGATGTTTTATGGTGTAGGAGTAGGTTGGAAGAAAGATAGGGGCGGCCAGACCAAAACATGGCACAAATCCATGAAGCCACTTACAAGTGAACTGAACCATGTTGGTAGGTGTAGACTACCTGGTTGGGATCCGCGAGACGATAGCAACCGATAGTTAGAGACCTAGAATGACATGGCCCAAAATCGTTTACAGTGGCGCAGGTGCATCCACTCTTTGTGTTCTCCCAAATTCTAATCTTCTGAATTCTTCATGTCCCTTTTCTTCTCTTCCCAAATTTATTTCACTGGATTATACTCCTTGAACAACATCTTCAAACCCTAATTTTCCCGATTACTGCTTATACTTTTACTACCTCCACCATTACGGGATTTGAGTCGACAATTGTATCTGTCTGCTAATGTGGTGTGACAGGTTGAAATGATGTACGTACGTACGAAGTTCTACGTTGTTACTGACTGACTGATTTGCATGTTATAACTAATTAAATAAATAGATTTCCAACTACTATTACGATCACTTCTTACTTATGTATGTAGGATTACAATTATGTACAAATTGATAAACAATGATATAATATGTTCAAAAGGCGAATTTGCTGTTTAATTTTTAGTTCATAATTGACTTTGTTTTTTTTCAAGGGAACTGAGAAATAAGTTTTATTTGGCATACATTTTTATATTTTAGATGGGTTTTTTTATTCCAAATGAATAATGTAGTGTGCACTGCTTATGTGGCTGGATATAAGTAGTATGTAGTAGGAATAAGAAATTCAATGCTTCTCGGTGAAGATTGAAATAAAGAGAGGAGAAAAGAAAACAGAGTGCATTCGGAATAATGACAGGATTGGAAGAATAATGGTATGAGTTAAGGAGAACTCAAGGAAGATATACAAATGATGTATTTAATGTACGATTTTCATATTTTAAAAAGCCAATGCGTAATTTACGTTAAATAATAAATTGGTTCACCATACCTGAATTTTCATTCACTATAGTAGTATCTCTTAGTATATGTCAACGTTCTAGATGATTCTTTTGTATATGACTATGGCGTCAACCACTAGTCGCTTACAAAAAAATATTTTCAATAGGAACTTCAGACAATTATTCAACATATGACATGAATATATTGATGTGAAGTAACATTCATTGGAACACCATCAATTCACCAGAAGTACTTGTACTCAAATATCAATTAGAAATAATCTTCCTCAAGGGATATTTGTGCAAAGAGAATTCGACATCGAAAAAGACATTGCTTTATTGTTAGTATCAGTCTAACACGGTTTAGCAGTTTCACTAATCATTACGCAAGATTTGTTTAGATAATCAACATATGTATGAAAATGAACATAACTATTTACTAGATTTATGAATAACAAGGGATTCCACACAAAAGAAACAAACTATATACTTACCAGTGTGAGGGGTATTTTGAGACTGGTAGATTTGATGGTTTACATCACAAACTGACTTTAGTTAAACAACTATTGAAAACCAGGAGGGACTGAATAGCTCTTTCATATTAGTATAGGATAACTCGGTGGTATGCGGCTAAAATCACAACGACAGTTTAACGCACTTTAGGTGTTGAACAGTTAGTTACTCATCAATTGGCAATATTGTGAATTCACTAAAGTTAAAGGCATAAACCATCAGTGATCTAAAGCTTGAGTACTCACCATGAGATATGGTTACTCGATGTTCGAGCCCCGATGCGGTTATAGATGTCAAGTATTGGTGGTTCCTACACTAAAATAAAACAGCAGTTGACTGCCTCCTGATTTTCAATGGTTAACTAGCTAAGATCATTTTATGATGTAAACTATAATCAAAATAACAAAGGGCAACATTCGAGGAATTAAAATATCGTGTTTTCCTGACAGTTTATGGTTATCTTTTTAAAACTGAAAACGGCTTTTTGTGGTCTTGAAAAAAACTAACATTTGAATCAAACCATCTGTAATTAGACTCACATACTAATATCGTACCCTTAAGCAACAATTCTGATGTTTGTCCCACTCAAGATGGAAATAAAACCAGTTATGTACGTCACCAGCGTTATCTCATAGAAAGACTAATAAACCTTAAGTCATTATTCACCACCATTATTATTCAGTGGTATCTTTCTAATACTGCAGCCACAGATAAATGAAAATGTTGCTCAAAACACTTGTCAAAACGTTTTTATGACCAATATATCTAGCCTAATACTCTTCTGAGCATCTGAATAACTGATTATTTATAGTCTGAACAAACCAAATTCCACGGTTTCTTGTGTAATACCTTGAACTATGTAACACCAAAAGTGATAATACTGCGGTTTAATAGACAGAATTTGATCAAAATATTTGCTAGCCCTACATATTTACACGCTATGATTATTAAATTTTCACAGTTCCGTATGTCAATTCCACACCATTTAAAAAACAACGGTATTTCAATAAGTGAGTAAATCTTTCGGTTCTCATCTTTTTAACACATCGAGTTTTGAGTTGTTTTAGTTTGGTTGAATTCTATTCGAGCCGATTCGTAGAGATGAACATAAAAGGAAGTCAGGACAAGAAATCCTGAGACTCCGTACACGTGAAAGGCCGCTACAAGTTGTGCTCTTCTCAATATTATCTCAGATCCCCTGGTATTCTTACCATATTTCCAATAAATTGCCTAAACTATTTAAGTTGGAGGAAGCCTTAAATACAGGGCATGTGGCGTTTCAATAACTTTGAGCTCTAAGTTGATTTGCATCTACTAGTTAAACGGACTTGCAGCTGGAGTTTGGAGATCAATCCCATAAAAAAGCCAGACGATGTTGGTTACGATAATAGTGACTAATTTATCATCAATTAAACACCACTTTCACGAGTAAATAAACAAAATATCCCGGTGTAAGAACAAATGGGAACTTTGATGTAGCGACAGCTTTGCAGTTTTTGATATTAAAATTCATTACCAGATCCTTAAAATGACTTTATGAAATTTTTTGAAATTTTTTACTGCACCTAAAGTGTAGCATCCAAGCACTTAATCAATGTCGTGTTAAAAGTGCTGACACTCATGTGTGTTTAACAAGTATATAATAAGTTAGTGAAAAGATTTTCTGGTCACTCTTATGGGTAGCAAGACTTTTCGTCTTATCACAAAATGCAAGATGAACTAATATTAAATTTCTGAATACACTAAACACAACGCTGTGTCAAATAGCACAAAAAAGTAAATAAACATTCATATTGAGTCACTAATAACTGCTAATCTCAATAAACATGTACATGCAAAAGCGTATACATTTGAAGAACAGAGACATTTTTTGCTTTATTTAGTGTGCTCATTCCAAATTCCCTACACCTTAGAAAAGAAAGCTATTTACGAAGTCTGGTATCACTCCACCAACTAAACACAAAGCACAATGTGAATTTGGTGAATTTATTAAAGATTATCAGTAAACAGCTCAATTTAATTGTTATCGAAATTTGCAATCATAAATCGTAACCCTGACTTTTAAATGCATAAAAAGTTAGTAGTTTACCTTCAACTGCCTTATTAAAATTTTAACCTTTTTATAGTTAACCGTAACCATAATTTAATGAGCTGATCTTCACATGTTCATATTTTTGCTTCAAACGTTCAAGAATTTTTTTACGTCATCTATAAGTTTATCTCAACATCTCAGACATTTCACTAGCCCTAGAATCTCAAGTAATTATAAAAGGATCTTTTTTAAAATAGTTGAATTTTCGAATTTTATATGCTACACACAGTTTTTTCATAGACAGTTTAATGCTAATATTGGGTTATTAACTAGAAATAATTAGATATATCGGCTCGTATGAAGCTAAAACAGGACAAAATACAACAAATTCATACTGTTTTGAAAATATTAACTTTCTTACTTTGGATAAATTTGTGAAGGGATCCGAGTGAATGAATTTAGTGCCATAATGTCTTGTTTTTCGTAATCTACATAATAAATAATCTTTAAAGCCGTCGAAAAGTAGTCGAAAGAGGTCAATAAATAAGGTGACAATGTGAGTTCATTTTTCATACGGAATGACTAACAGGTGAGACATCTCACCCAAGCAATTTATATCAGCCTTAGCAATAAACAAGAAACTGAACCTACACAGAAACACTTCAATAATTAACACAAGTCAACTGAATTGCCATTTTCATCAATAAAGAATGAAGATAGCATTTGTGACATTCAGTAAAAATTACATCTAAGACCATTGTCCAGTGGATGCATACAAGTATATTAAAAATTAGCAAATCTGACACAAATAGCTTCAAATGGAAATTTAGCTTTCCTTAACATTATGATGTAAGACACTGTGACTTTTTACCTCGCAAAAGATAGTTTCAACAGAGTCTAAAGATTGAGACAATGTCAAAAAAGTGTGTAAAATAGTCATCCTTACGACCTGAGCGAAACAAGAACACTCATGCTTAATATTTTTGTGTCAAGTATAAAATATTAATAATGAAAAACCATTACATATGATCAATGAATGTGTCAAGGCCATCAGTTTGGGTGAAAAGTGGTCGCAAAGTTATCTTACATATAAGGCTATAGTAACTAATAAACTAAAATATTTGCCACCAGGCAAGCAGCTAGCCCAAATATCGTAACAATTGCCGATAAACCACAGGTGGTTTCAATCACTGAACCGGTAGTTGATAAAACCTGAGGTTAAGGCATCTAATATGTCAAACTAAATATTTCTTTACTATCCCAGATATTCTTTCAATGTGATATTTACCATAAGGTATTAAAATTTGAATCTGACTATACGAAACTCGTGAAAATGATGGAATAAATCATGGTTCAGCAAATTTTTTGATAACGTGCAGTTCACTACAAACCTTTCTCTACTACTCAGTAGGAAGTAATTTAGTCAAACTTAAAAAAAAGAAACTAACCTGGGATTTGAGTTAAAATATAGCCCCAGAAAAATGCTCCTAATATCAAACCTTGTGTCAGCCTATTCCAATTGAACTCTCCTGTGCTGATCTGCATGAAAGTTTTATTCGAACTAATGAAGTATACCTCAGTTCTTTTCAGATACGTGTAATTAGAAAAGTTAGAACAAAAAAATGACGAATGGTTTGTAGAGGTCTTGTCTACCGTATCATTAACCATGGCAAGTATTGTAACATTTAAGTCAACTCTCATCATGTAAATCAGAATTAGGTTGATAAATCCCATTGTAGCGATTATGTAACGACATTTACAACAGAAGACCCCTGTCGAACAACCCATTTTTTTACTGAACGAAGAAGTACAATAACTTACTTAGTTAAAACACTCTCAAAGGTCGTCAAGTATCCGATACGTTATGAACAACTAGCGTGGCAAAACTACTTAGTTCGCTCTTTTTACTCAGTGTTTATCCAATGTTTTGATATTTTGCTGCAATCAGTATATATGATCAATCTAATTTATCATATTTACATGGTGAATTCATGACACTATGAAGATATATGCGAAATCTTTGTGAAATGCTTATGTACATACCTTTGATCGCTTTTGTTGTCCTCTTAGTTTCGTATAGGGGACAGCTTTGGATCTTTTAAGAGAATCAAATGGACTTGTCAAGTCACTTAATCTCGATAAACCTAGCTTTGGGTATATTTCCAAGACGTAAAAGAGGGGTCAATAACAGCTTAAGTGGGATCGGGTAATCAAACGTTTTCAACAACTGTGTTGTGTTTGTTATTCTACTTTTTACTTGTTATCTTGGATAAATATTTTTGGTAAAGTTTCATCGATGCCCCAAAATTGATTGAAAAGCAGTGTGTCACCATCTTTAAAATATGACAAATCAGATTCAAAAATCTTCAGATTTTACAGTTTCAACTCACAAGTATGAAAACTTGACGATCGCACTTAAGATGCAACCGGTATTCTTAGTCTGACAATACCTGTACGCGTAATACATTAAAAGTGCCACACGTATCTGGAGTTTGGCAGCGCCTTAACCGGTAACATTTTTCTACGGTCAAAACGTGCTATACAGTGTAATCAGAAGTCAGAAGCAAAAAGACTCAAAGATATATTTGATAGAATATCGATATATCGAGAAGTGACCAATCTAGTCTGGCTAGCGATTATAGGATGCACGGCGTGGTCACTCATGATCTGGTGCAGGTGCATGACTGATCTCCTTCGGCTAGGTGAGTCCATTAAAATTAATGCGGTCAGTATCAAATGTCGAGGACTTACAGAGCTATTGACATTGGGGATTTATTCACTGCTTCAACCTTCATAATCGAAGTACACCAACCCACTGAGGTCATAAATCAGAAATGAAGTGGTTTGAATATATATTTGGGATGTTATCGATATGTTGAAAAGCAACTGATCTGAGCTGGCTATCAGATGCAAGGGATGAGTAGCATTGCGAACCCACTCGGTGCGGATGCGTAACTTATCAACCTCAGGTATGCGAGTTCAATAAAACTAGTGAGGTCAGCATCAAAGTCTTGGACCTAAAGAACTACTTATTACGGGGTTATATTTGTAGAATTATGGTCTACTATGATATTAATACTGCTCTAATAATAGACCTAATCCTAAAATTGTAGATTTATCATCATGTAACTGCCTAATCTATAAGATCTTACGTGGAAGTTACATCATCGTCTACACCGATTCATTGCATTGTAACAATTACCAATACGTGATAGAGAACAAGCTTAGGCTAGAGATAGAATATATTTAATATGAATAGAAGATACAAGATAACAATCAGCTGGGACCACGCCTGCAAGGCCGAGCCATGCCATCCGATCAACTCGGACTAATTCAAAATTCCTTATTCCCGCCTTCTCCATTGTTGGGTATTTCCCAGCGTTAAATGTTGAATGTTTATTTTCCGTTTTGTCTCGTGTTAGGGCTCAATGCCACTACACTACTCTCCCACCAGAATCAACGTGACGTTGATTCGATACCAATTTGAGTGGGATTGTCGCGCGCCGAAGGTTACCAAGACTAATTAGAACCCTCCGGGTATTGATAAGCTGAAAGATAAATCAAAAAGAAGGCAGCAGCATCTGGTCGGGAAACACATGTAATAATTTCAACACATCTGATTGCATGTTTAGCACGATTAAAATGAAAATTTAGGTAAATATTATTAAAGCTAAACAAAATGGGATTATAATAATAATAATAATAATAATAATAAAGTGACTCCGTGTAGGGATATTTTAATGAGTCGCCGTAATAATAATAATAGAACGTAAGATGCGTGTTAATATCCGTTGGTTAATAACTTAACTTATAGGTAGTATTTTTTGTTTATAAATATTAAAAGCAATCCATATTGTAAAAATGCTAATATTGGCATTAGTTTTGGTTTAAATTATGAAATTAAATAACGTTTATGCCTGTGCGCTGTCCATATGAGTTGATTTCCGATTGGATCTGTATTAGTAGGCTAACTGAAAGAACAAACGTGTTACCGTGGAGAAGATTTACCATTATAATTTGGATACAAAGACACTAGAAACTCACCAGTAACGAATTTCAAATTTAAGGTACTTTCCGTTTATTATAGCACCTGAGAGCAAGAATGTTATTTTTAAAAATTTCTTTGATTGAAACGTTGATTGTCTGATCTGAAATGTTCTACGCCTAGCAACTTTGTTTCCACGATCCTTAGTTAACAGAACTTTAATGTGACATATGAGTGATACCAGGCCTTTGGTCCTACTAACCGAAGAGATGGTAGGTTATGCTCTGAAGCGAACTAGATGAGTACATTAAAACTGTGGTCAGCATCCAATGTCGAAAACTTACAGAGCTATTAATTTTGGGGATTTATTTACCGCTACAGACCACTCCCTCCCCTAGTGGGGTAGTGATGACCCTAAGACGTGGCCAGCCAGAAGTTTAAACCCAACGAGTTTTTCGTTGACAAACATTCTTCTGATAGATCGCTAGGTTTAGCAGCGTCTGGTCGTCTTTCCTTACTATAAGGGACCATGACGTACAATAAAGTAAATAAAGGAAAAGGTCCAATGAAGATTTCTGTCTCTCGCAAACTTCTTTGTTCTTTTTATCGTCTTTTCCAGCAGTTTTGGAAAAGAAAAAATATATGTAAGTGCATGTCGAAATACACTCATACGCGCGTGAAAATACAAAGCAGGCGAAAACATAGGAAATAAACTCATGCTCACGTAATAGCGTAAAAAATGGATTTTTATAATATGATTTTTTTGTTTTATTCTGAAAAAATATATATATAAGTAAATTAAAAATTTAAAAAAAATTATGTATAGTACAAGGGAAAATCGAGACGATATAAAATGTCATCAAGTATCTTACGTGCAATAATCGTTCAAATGTATTGGAAATCTTACTCTTCTTCCAGAACGCGTTGTTTTGAGTTTATTTTCTGATACCGCCGAAGTATCAACGTGTGTGTTGGCTGTCTATTGAGGTATTATAAGTGCAGGAGTTGTGTCGTGAGATTGTATTGAAGGAAAAATCGACGTGAATGGGATTTCCTTCTAAATACGCTGCTTTGAGGCAATCGATACTGATGCTTTCGTTGGTTCCGTTCTTGTCGGTTAAATAGTACTTAGATTCGCGTTGAACATTTTTGAAAGGTCCTTCATATGCTGGCTCGAGAGGTCGTCGATGCGAGTCTCGACGTACGAAGACGTGTGAACTATATCGTAAGTCAGGTTGAAAGAAAACATCAGTTGATTGTGGTCGAGTGGAAACAGGTTTAACTGAACACATTGCGTTTGTAAGCCAGTTCGCGTAGGAGGTTAGCTCCATGTCCATCGAAGAGGATAAAGGATCCACGAATTCTCCTGGAAGTCGAAGGGTCGTACCATAAACGAGTTGAAACGCAGTGTTTCCAATGTCAGCTTTCACTGCATTGCGAATACCTAGTAAGACGAGTGGAAGTGCGTCAGTACACTGAGAAATGTTTGAGGCTGGTAGGCCGTCGTTCAGAAGTGAGTGATTCCTAATTTTACGGTTAGACAACGGAAAAGTTCAGATTCAAACTGACGTCCACGATCTGTAGTGATGGTTGTTGGGCAGCCGAGGTTTGCTACCCATCGTTTGACAAAGGCGCAAGCCACTGTTTCAGCAGTAATGTCTTTGATGCATACTCCTTCTGGCCATCGAGTAAAACGGTCTACGCAGGTTAAGAGATAAGAATATTCATTTGAATCTGGTAAAGGTTCTACCAAATTCACATAAACATGGTCGAAGCAAGCATCCAAAGTTTTAAACGAGCCTAAGAGACATTTGTTATGTCTAATAACTTTAGATTTTTGGCAGCTTACACAGGAGCGTGCCCACTCCCTCACGTCTTTATTCATACCAGGCCAGCAAAACCGTTCTGCTACAAGCCTGATGGTTGCACAAACACTTGGATGAGAAAGTTTGTGCAACGTGTTGAAGACATTGCGTCTATATTGTTTCGGCACGATTGGACGATCCCTACCTGTAGATGTGTCACACAGTAAAGTTTCCTTACCTGTTTCCATCTGTTTGATGCGCAGTCTAAGTGTTGTTGAGAACAACTCGTGCTGAAGATCACTGTCTTCTTTTTGAAGCTGTGCGAGTTTTAAAAAGTCGATTCCTTGGGAACTGTTCAAGGAGTTTATTCGAGACGAGGCGTCTGCAACTACATTGTTTGCTCCAGAAATGTGCCGAATATCTGAAGTAAACTGCAAAATGTAGTCCAGTTGTCGAGACTCACGTGGTGAGTACTTGTCTGAAGGTGAGCTTAAAGAGGAAGTAAGAGGTTTATGGTCGTAAAAAAGGGTGAATTCATGGCCTAGGAGTTCCCTACCGAATGTGCGTTACCTCGATCCAGTGTCTAGTAATCGTCTAGAAGTGGTTAACCCATTGTTGTAAGACTGCTCCGATTGCTGAGTCGGTACCGTCTACTGCGATACTAATGGAGGCTTCAGGGTTCTGATGAGCAAGCCTGGTCGCTTTAGCGATACGTTCCTTAACTGTGGAGAATGCTTTTCATGCGGTGTCATCCAGATTGATGGATTTCGCGCTTCCACGAAGTTGGTCGGTAAGAGGTTTCATTTTGGCATGAATCGCCTATGGAAACTCGCAAGGCCGTTAAACATGCCGATTGCTTGATGGTGGTCGGTTCTGGGTAATCCAGAATGGCCGCCACTTTCGTTCTAAAGGGTCGGATACCTTGCGCATCGATAGCGTCTCCTAAGAAGTCCAAGGAGTCGGTTCCGATTTGGCATTTCTGAATGTTAACGGTAATGCCATGTTTTTGTAGTCGGTCGAA